ATTTAGTCTTCCGTTAGAGTGAAGGGCATATATGCTATAGTTTTTGAACGGTAGGGGCACGTATGTCCCAAAAGTATGACGGAAGGTATATGCATACAATTTATAATAGTTCGGCGGTATATTTGTCCTTTTACCTTTTTTATTATGAAAGTAACTCATCTCTCTCTCTCTCTCTCTATATATATATATATATATATATCTTTATTGTTATACAAATACTCATATATATCTTTATTTTAATGAAAAAAATATTTTTAAATTTTTTATTTATTTTAAAAAACACAAGTAGGGGTATATTTACTCCTTTTCACATGTTTTTTTTAGGGAAAATTGTATATAATAGCAAACTATTAATTCAAATTAAATGCTATAAATATAGTTTGATTTAATTGTACCTCATAGCAAACTGTTGTTATTTCACCTCTCTCCTAGTGAATCTCGCTCGCCACACTCGTTCTTTCCCTTGCCTCTCTCGTTTTTTATACAAACGCAAGTGTATAAAGTGCGTTTGTGTTTGTATAAAGCGAGAGAAAATTATATATATACATATATTTTCGTTCCCCTCTCTCCTCTCTCCCAGATCTCGCTCGCCACTCTCCCAGATTTCGTTCTCTCACTCGTCTCTCTCACTTTATACAAAACGCAAATTGTATAAAATGCGTTTGTGTTTGTATAAAGCGAGAGAAAATTGTATATATACATATATTTTCGTTCCCCTCTCCCAGATCTCGCTCTCTCACTCGCCTCTCTCACTTTATACAAAAACGTAAATGTATAAAATGCGTGAAAATTGTATATATACATATATTTTCGTTCCCCTCTCCCAAATCTCGCTCGCCACTCTCCCAGATCTTGCTCGTTCACTCACCTCTCTAACTTTATACAATTGATCTTTTTGTATATGCATACCAAAGCAGATTATACAACTGCTTTCTTTTGTATATGTATAACGAAGTATACATGTTTGCTATGGAACACAATTATGCAAACTTTACTATAACATATAAATATGAATTTTGTGTTTGATATATGTGAAAATTGCTCTTTTTTTTATAATTTTTATTCATGGATTAATTTTAATTTATTATTTTGATTTTTGATGATCAAATATATTTTTTTCACTTATTATATTTTAAATTATTTTATTGATGCCCCAAATATTTTTTTTGCAAATATAAAATTAAATTATAAAATAGCCGGAAAAAATGAATTTTAATTTTTAACTTTTTAATATTTTTCCATTCACACTTCATTCTTTTTATTTCTCTTATTTTTACACTAAAAAATCGAGAAAAAAGAAAATGAAAAAAAAATAAATTTGAAATTACATGGTTAAGCAAACATATACTAGTTAATTAGTCATCATAGCTATAGTCTTAGTTAATTATCATTCGCGACCAACATTCAATGATAATTACGTGGGCTGGGGTTTCAAATTTGTATAATTTGCGATACGTTTGTATAATTTGGAATTTGTATAAGGTAATTTCGTGTAATATAATTTGTGCAATTGTTTATTAAATATAACTTCAACTAGCTACAAAAATAACTTAAGATTTCACTTTCAAAATTCAAACCATAATATGTTTGAAACAAAGTTATAAAGTGAGAAATATTGAAAATACCGCTAAACACTAGGTGTAAACTATTAGTTTTATCCTTACAAAAATATTTATTTATTTAACCAATTGAACTTAAATACACCCCGATCTTATAACATGCGTAAAATACATCCATAAAATCTAGCCAAGTTTATGAGTGTTTTCAACACTTCTCTCAACTTTTTATTAAGAGTTGTATGATATACAAGAGTTTGAGACCATTTGTTATGTCTTGTGACAAATCGAGGGTGATCTGAATGTATTTAAATTTAGTTCGTCAAGTAAATAAATATTTTAAAAATTATTAATAATTTAAAAATAAAATTAATAATTTACATCAAGTTTAAAAGTATTTTCAATTGGCGAAGATAGTAACGTTTTTCTATGCCACACCATACTCCTTTCTTTGTGATCCTATGCACAAACACGTCAATCAATTGGTCAAACTGATCAACTCAAAACCAAAAGATCCAAATAGCAAAAACCACAAAACCGCCAACAGTTTTTTCAATCCACGGGCAGCCGCCCCCTAGTCCCTTCCAATTCCTCACACTCCGTCTACTGACAACACTATAAATATTGATTCCCTTAACTTTCCTAAAATCAGCTAAAATTACAAAATTGTGAGTTCTGAATTGAAAGGATGGCTGATGCAGCAGCAAAGGAACGCAAGATCTTGGTCGCCGTAGATGAGAGTGAAGAGAGCAGTTACGCCCTTTCATGGTGCATAGAGAACATAATCACCGGAAATTGCAATGATACCCTTATCCTTCTCTACTCAATACCACCTCGAGCTGTTTACTCTACCTTAGACGGAACAGGTGAGAAAGATCACCCTGAAGGTAAAAAAAAACTTCAGTATGAGTATTTCATTATTATGTGATTAATTGAATTGGCGAGTTCTCGTAATTTTGTTGAAATCTCAGGGTATTTGGTTTCATCTGATATATTGGCGACCATGGAGAGGTACAGCAGTGAAGTTGCACAGTGTGTTATGGAGAAGGCGAAACGAGCCTGCGAGGCTTTGAATGGGGTTAGTTTTTGTAGATTTGCTGATGAATGAAGGGTAAATTGGTCAATTTTAGTAGAGAGGTAATGCTTGTGTGTTGCTGCGTTGTATACAGGTTAAGGTGGAGACGATAGTAGAGCATGGTGATGCAAGGGACGTGATCTGTCAGGCGGCGGAGAAGTTACATGTCGACATGCTCGTCATGGGAAGCCATGGATATGGTGTCATCAAGAGGTAAGACTTCGTTCAATTTTTTTTTCCGCCAAGTGTCTAATACCCGTATTTAGATTAAATTTGGATTCATGCCGGAAAGTTATATTAGGTAATGAGGTAAAACACTTCCTAATCACAGTGAGTTCATTTTCAGGTGAGTTTCATAGACATGTGTACATTTTTATTAGATTGAAGGCTAGATATATTTAGTCAAAAATCATTACAATGAAAATCAAGATTTGTCAAGAGCACAAATTTTCCTCAATTTATTATGGTTAAATATGTATAGCATGCTAAAAATGGTACTAGAGTTTTGTCCTCCTTTTTTAGAGCTAATTACAAAAAGAGCCTAGTATAAAATGATTGGATCATTATTTATTGTCCTAATTTGTTTGGTACAAATTTTAACAGATAGATTTGTTATTCATAGTTATAGTATGGAACTTCCCAAGATTTTCATAGTTACGTAAGGATTTTTCCATGATTATGTAATGGTGTCTTGTTTATATGTAGCAAATGAGCGGGTTGAGCTGAATTTGGGTTGGTCAAAATGGATTGAGTTAATAAATAAATAGATTATTGTCCCACCCAAAATTACATGCTTTAAAATGGGCTAAAATAGGAGTTATAACTCAACAAATTCTCACTAACTTTTAATTGTTTCATTTATTCTTTTACAATGTTTTAGTATCTTATAATTTTTTTTTGTTATCATAAGAAAATGTTTTTTTGAATTTCTTTTTACATGCATGAATCAATTTGGAATATATATCAGTTCTAATTTTTATAGGCTATGTGTTGGGTTGAGCTAATAAAAGGGCAAATCCAACTTTGGATGAACTGGGGGCTATGATTTCATCAACTAATTTTATCATCTCTACTGACTGTGTCTATTTATGGAGTAATTAATTAATTGTTGATATGAATAACAGGGCATTTCTTGGGAGTGTGAGCAACCACTGCGCGCAGAATGTGAAGTGTCCAGTTCTAATTGTGAAAAAGCCAAAAACTGATGGCAGAAGCAAATAGATTTGTTGTACGTTATGGAATTTGTAATTGTTCGTCCAATGTAAATTAAATAGGCAGGGTGCTGTGATTTTGTTGTGTTTTTTTTCTTCCCTTGATTTATGTACCTTTTGAATTAAACTTGCTTAATAATTGTATGATTGCTTTTCAAATGTTAGAGGCAACATATTAAATTTCTATTTTTGTGTAATAACCACAAAATCTACAGTTATGGTAGTAGAGTTTAGTTATGGTTGTCATCCCTCATTGCAGAAGGTCATCAAACGTTATACCTATAGTTATAGATTCTCAGGCTGGACTTCTCTCTGAATAGAGTCCATCCGTAGTTAGCTTCAAGAAAGATTTGCAGAATCTTACTTGTAAGGTTGTCATGTTGCAAGACAATGTTACGCCACCACATCTTCCTCCTTTTGATTATGCTTTTCCGAAACCATTACACGGCAAACGTTTACATGAAGTGCTTAGACACTTGTATCTGAGAATCGAGACAGGCCAATCCAACTAACTCAATGACATTGTGATACGTCATGGTAAAAAAAAAGAGTAATAGCAAGGACTTAAACGTATCATGGTAAAAAAAAAGAGTAATAGCAAGGACTTAAAAGGAAAGAAGGTTTTGGTGGACTGCGTACTGCGCATGTTTCCTCCTTCGAAAAGATAGGAGCAGATATGTTGATGTTTGTGAGAATATGAAAAAGTTTTCAAATCTTTGAATGACATGAAGAAAGTTGAAGCTGACAAAACCTATGACATTACTAATTTTGCAAATAAACGTAGTAAATTTTGATTTTTTTTTCCTGCATAAATAGGTTGCAATATTTGTAACTGTAGATACCAGTTATGGACCGGAAACAAGCAACAAAGCTAAGGGAGGAGAAAAGACATGGAGCTTAACTCATCTTTTCCCTTTCTATTAGTCAGGTTTATGTAAACTAAAAGTTATTAAAGCTAATACGTTACGTTTATATAAATCCGAATCATTATTTCTGGATAGGATATACTTAACAGAGGAATAAATCTTAAAGATAACAGTGAGCATCCAATTTTACTGGTCAAGTTGTAACAGAGCTCGAAGAGTTTTCAATGTTACACTTGATTAACAGATTTAATCTTCTCAGGTGCTTCAAGCAATAAAATACGGTAAATAATCGAGACAAGGAGCCATTTAAATAGAAAATTAGGTAGAAATTAACTAGTGTAATTTCAACACCATTTAGTTTAAAATTCTAGTCAAAACCAAACATGTATTCCTATTGGCCGAGCCCAATGACATCAAAGCAATCAGCCATATAAGACCTCATGCACCCTCAATCTCCGTCTTTTCACTAAAATTGGGAAGGGGCTAATTCACTAATAAGGAAAAAAAAAAAAAAAAGGGGGGGGGGGGGGGAGGGAGGAGGAAATCTTCCGGGAACTGCCAAGTAGCTTCTTTGTCAGTTGAATCAAAATGCTTGGCCCTTACAGTTCATCCTGCAAAAACAAAAGGGTACATACTGTCAGATTGAGAACCAGAAGAAAAGATTGATGCCACCATTGTTTTGAAAGTTAAAAAACAATTTGTCAATTCTTACATGTGTGTCCTCATCCTTGGAGTCAGACTTGTCATCAGCATCATCTGAATCAGCCTCATCAGCCTCGTCATCTTCCTCGGCCTGGAAAAACATGTAAACAATATAAGAGCAAGACAACAAGGAACAACACAGCTTACTGATAGAGTAAGAAAGGGTTTTCCAAAGAAAATTTAGAGGCTTACATCAGATTCAGCTGGAGCATTCTTTGATTCCTCCTCCTCTCTCTTCTTTTCTGCTTCCTCAAAAGCAGCTTTTTCAGCCTGCATAATTAAAGATAATATTAACTATTAAGACTCAATAATTCTATTATGACTACACTAAGAGAATAAGGAAGGAACCACATACATCCTTTTGCTTTCCCCATGTTTCCTCTGCAATGGACTTGGCATACTCTGGATCATCGCATATCACAACATTGTCAAACAAGGTTCCAGATTTCACCTGCAAAATACATTATGCTTATGTCAATTAAGTGCAAACACAGTAAATCAAAATTGTTAATGGTGTAATTTACAGCAGATCACACAAGAAAAGGAAAATTCCTTACTTGCCACAGCTCAACTCCGACATACTTCAATTTTGGGAAAACATATAGATCTGGGTCATCCTTGAAGTCTAGAGACAAAAACAGCATAGATATCAATAATTGTGATACTAAAAGTCAGCTCACAAAAATATATAGACGTAGTATTGACAACTAAAAGGACCTGGGTTGTCAATCATAGGAGCCTTCCACTTCCCCTTGTAGTTGGGGTTCTTGATTTTCTGAAAAGACGAAAGACCAAGCATTAGGCACCATAATCAGGGACAAGTCATTCAACTTAAATGTTCAGACTCCACAAACCTTTGCCTTCCATGGGCCCTTGTACTCCGGATTGGGGATGGTTGGGGCTGTCCATTCACCATCTTCTTCATCATCCCAGTCCTCTGGCTGCAATTTAAAAAAGGCTCAGTAATTAAAAAATTTACTCTATATTCCAGGTATTAATATAAGATTTATATAAGTAAAGCTCAACTGGTTACCTTCTTGGCTTCGGGATCAGTTATCTCCTCTGGAATGTCATCATAGCCCTGCAGTTATTACAGATTGAATAAATTGATCGTCATCTTCCTCCATTTTCAAATGGCACAGACAAACCACTCAAAAAATATACAAAGGATACCTCTGGCTTCTTATCCTCAGGATCATCAATGAATTCCTTGTCATCCCAATCTTCAGGCTGCAATAAACATGTAACTTGATCATTAACACTATCAAAAAGATAAATATCAATTGACTCTGAAATTATGATGCACTGGGAATTACTTTCTTGGCACTTGGATCCTTGATCTTCTTTGGTGGGAGAATGTCCCAGTCAGAGTACAAGCTACCAGACTGTTTCTCCACATTGTCAATGAGAATACTGTATGTGGCATCAGGGCGGAGGATGAAAGTGTAGACATGGGTCAGCTGATCAGTCTCACATGGGACTTCCTTCTTGATTAAGTGGTTTGTCTCGTTATGAGTGAGAATAGCATGTACTTTCTTGGTACTGTAGCCACAGATGTCTGGTCCAAACATGATACTGCATGGAAACATTTATCAAAAACTTCATTCATGAACTACGGAACATTTTTAAAAGTAAAAACATACATCAAAACAAATAATGCTTTTATGGTAAAAAAAAAAAAGTAACAAGAAAATATTATGTGCAACCTGTAGGGAGTGTCACCACCGAATTTCTTTTGGTCAACGTCTCCACTAAGCAACTTCATGTACCCACCACCACAGTCAAGCTTCTGCTCATGCTTAACAGAGAACTGGAACACTAAGTTCTTTCCCTTGTTACTAAATTCAGGGAACTCAGCTGAAATGGCGTAGAACCTGTAGTCTTCACTGGTCTGAATACCTGAAATATAGAATAAGTAAATAGATGTTATTATTTTTAACATTCAGCTCCAGATAAAAGAGTCAGATATCAAAAGGCTTATAGCTTGAAGTAACTAGGCTCTAATTAGTGAGAGATTGCAGACCTTTGTCGTTGGCGTCTCCATTCCACTTCCCAGAGGTGTGATTCCACTCTCCAGCAATGTTTTCATCTTTCTTCCATTCAGATTTTACCCACCTGCTTTCCCAGCCATCTAAAAGTTCAAGAAGCAAAACTTATCAGCCTCACAGTGCCCAACATAAGAGAATAATTTGACACATTTAAACTTGACAATTCTAATGCAGCAGAACAGACCACAGAATATCAGCAGAATATAAGCATAGATTTCACACTAATTCAGTAACTAGGCAACATTAATGTATTTCAGTATCAAACACTAACATTGATTGCTAATTCAGCCGAACATACAGTTAATAGATGCTAACTAATTTGATTTCCAGTCAACAAATAAACAAACTGCCAACAAACATTGTATATGAAAACAATACAAGAGTGCAATGCTCTAGTTATACTAGGAATTGTCAAGAATTAACTTTATCCATGTAATACTAATAATCATGATCTTTCGAAATTTTATTCTGTATAATATATAGATCCAATATTAGCTAGTCAGAGTGTTAAGACATGATTTTTTAAATCATATAGCAAACCGGATAAGATCTAACAATCCTACCAATCACCAATCAGTCCAAGTATATGAAGAAAATTGCAGTCCCATCGCAAGAAAATACACGCAAATGGAGTATGCTCCTTCAGAGAGACAATGTAGATATACTCGATGGCACTCAGACACATCAACATTCAAAAAAATACAAATCATAATCACAAACATAGAATTCAAAAACCTAACATGCCAAAACAACATTCCGATCTACATATATCATCTTAAAATTGACAGATCTACTCCAAAACTTCAAGCTTCTATCATCAGATCAAACTAAAAACAAACAATTAAGCTCAGATCTTTCACACTCCTCATCATTTTCCACAAATTCACTCCAAAATCAAATGGATCACAAAAATTGATCCAAGTGACATCAATCAATTGACGTAAATTAATTCACAAATGGATAAAATTGTTACCATTGAAGCTTTCCTCGAAGAAAACTTCGGCGGCGGCGGCGACTACGAGTAGAGAGAACACAGCAACGAGATGGAGAGAGCTAGGGCTTTTCATTCGTCGAGTAGCCATGGCCACTATTGTGTGAGATGGAAAATACTGACTGTGAGATCTCTGACGAACGCTCTTTTATACTGTGGAGAGTTATTTTCGGTAGATACGTAGGGCAGCGTTTGGGTTTAATCTGACGTGGAAGAATTAAATGGCATGAACGAATAAGAATGTGCCATCTGTCATTAGAGTGTCATTAACTTGACGTGGCTGATTCTTATTGGGAACCTACACGAGTGAGAATGACCATATTTACGTTGGCACTTGTGCGATGATTTTTTCGAAATAACGAATTTACCCTTTTTTGGCCCTCGTATATGAATTTCACACAAATGCCATGCCAAAATACTCTATGCTAAGTTTCTAACCTTTGGATTTACTTTCTCCGTTTCAAAATAGTTGTCAATTACTCAATTCCAAAATAGTAGTCAAATTCATTTAATGAGAGTTAGTTTAATTAATTTTAATAATAAATTTAAATTAAATTAATTTAATATTTTAAAATTTAAAATTTAAAATATTAAAAAATTATAATGAAAAGTAATATAACGTACAAAAAAAATTATATCAATGTGATAAAAAAATATATTTTAAAATGTTAGTCAAGATTCATATTAAATATTTTAGAATGTGATGTGTATTGTTTCAAAAAAAAAAAATTAGACAGGTTAATTTAAAATATTTAATTACTCCTTGTACAATCAAAATGCCATTAATAATCGTTACTACTATTTTAGTAATTACACATTTTTTTCAATTCTACCCTTATATAATTCAATTTCATTTTTTCGGTTTTTGAAATTCTATTTACCTCTTGAGGCCGAAGTTTAATTTTAAAAAAAAGTGAATTTCTGAAAAGTCAAATATGCTTATTAGAACCTCTCCAAAGCTCATTACTTTTTCACATTGTTTCTTTTGGAAATTGTAAAAATTTGAAAGTGGATGAGCTTATCGTTATACTTCTAGCAGTGACCTTTCTTTGTCAACAACAATCTTTTGTACATTACGGCAAAAGTTGGTCAACAAATTTTAAAAACATATTTTTATTTCTACAAATACAATTTCACACATAGAAAGAAAATATTTTCAACTTTAAATGTCAATGTCTCTCCTTGAATTGGAATACGGTTTAATATAAATATCGGGTGTATGCAATTAATTTATGGATTTTGAAAACGTAAATCTTAAACAAAGGCTTGAAGCACATAAGAATTTTGCTAAGAATATAAATAACTAAATAAACATCTTATTAGAGTTGATATATTCAATTGAACATTATTTTAGTTCGAATATCTAAATAAAATATTTTAACAATTTTAAGAGATTGATTACGTATTAAGCCAATATAACTCTTGTCATTCTACGAGATCTGCTTCCATGTATATATTATTACCATTTCATCTTGGTTGCTTTTTGTTTTGTCAACCGTCAAGAAATGGAAAAAGATTCCATTATGGAAAATCCATACTGTAATTATTAAAATTTGAGTGTTGATCGAATGCAAGATGCTAATGAGCACATTATATCTATTGAATTCGTTATTAATGTTTTTTAATAAAGAATAACATGGTCAAATCAATTTGTGAACATCTTAATTATTATTTTTTTTAAAAAAAACATTTTTGTTGTTAATTTTCATTGAGATTTCAAGCTTCAGTAATGTTTTAGTATGGTGCCTTTTAAAATAATTAACACAAGCCGTCCATCATTACAATTAACAAGCAATGAGGAGGAGGCGGAACTATTCTTTGTCTGAAGGGGTATTATCTGATATTAATTCGTTAAAAAAATTATATTATGTAAATATAATCTTAAGAAAACATTTAAATTACATAGCTTATTTTTAAGTTTTTAGTAAAAAAATTAACTCTATTATTGATTGAAGGGAAAAAGGATAAATATACCCCCAACTAACGTAAATGGTATGCAGATACCCTCGGTCATAGTTTTAGGACATTGGTGTCCCTTCCGTCAAAAAACTAGAGCATATATACCCTTTAAACTAACGGGTTGCGGATATACACGTGTCACAATCTTATCCACCGACCTGACATTTATTAAATATTGGATCGACGAATAAGATTTTGCCACCTGTCCCTATTTGGTCTTCCGTTCGAGTGAAGAGCATATATGCTCTAGTTTATGGACGACAGAAGCACCAATGTCCCAAAAGTATGACGAAGGGTATCTACATACCATTTACGATCATTCGGAATATATATGCTCTAATTTGTGTTGGGTCCAAAAACTTCAGTGAGAATAATAATCACAAAATAAAACTGCAGAAAGTTCTCATACCATTAAACCATGCACCAACCCATGTGGTTGGTTTCTGACGTATAATAGTAACTATTATTCATTCAATTTGTTGGTACTATTATTTTTTTTGTCCGTTTTATAAAAGAGTGTTTTTAGGGTAATTATTTAATTTTAACATTTCATATGGTATATTTAAGATTATAAAATTTAATGATATTTTGATACAATATTTAATTTAAGATTATACGATTTACAAGTCTTTTTTATTTTTTTACATATTATGTCATATCAAAATAAGATATATAAATTGAAACGGTGGAGTAATAAAATAACTTATGCCTGCTGAATTTAGATAGTATATACGTTATAACATGTGTAACCTTTTGTCCAAAGCAACCAACTTTTGGTGGAATAATTAAACAAGTATTTCCATAATCAAGATCCACTTTAATTTATTTTTTAAAGAAAGAGGGGTTGGGTAAAGTTATCAACTACGTTTTAGTTTTTAATTCATTTTTGCAGAAGTTCTGTTGAGATCCAACTTATCTATTTTTAGAGTGGAAATTATTTTTATTATCCAAAATGAGTACACTTTATAAGGACAAGTGGGCCGGCACTTGTCTTTTTTGCAGATTTTTGAATTGAATGGATGCTTGATTTGGAAGTTATCAATTTCAATTTTCAGCCACTCCTTTTATTAGCTGGATTTGTTATTATTATAATTTATAGATTACCAATTCCGATCAGAATTATAATTTTTCGAGCTCATACACTATATCCTAAAATGTTGAACTTTATGTCTTTAAAATTTTGATCAGTTACTTACTGTTCAATTCTCGTTTGTTTTTCCTTTGTTTTCTTTTGACATTTTCATCAATCCATAACTTTCCTTTTGTTTTATGAATTTGGCAGTCTGGTGCCTTAAACTTTCACTATGCCTCGGATTCAAGAAAGGATTAGACCACAAAAATTTATTGTATGCAGTCGTATCCTGTATTTTTACAAGAGATTATTTTCACAGTTTTACTGTGACCTAATGATCATATGACTCTTTTTGTCTATCGAAAACAATCTCGCTATCTCTCATCAATATAGAAAAAGATTTGTGTACATCCTATGCTTGATATATTATTTTTGTTGAATTGGGCCAAAAAAGATGAGGGATGGCATACACAAAGGAATATACTATAATCCGCTCAACCTACTCACCTACTTTATTTTCTCTGTGTTTACCAATTGTTTTTTCATTTTTATGTTATTAAAGAAGATTAGAAAAAGTAAACATGAGAATTAACTTTTCAAAACAAGAAAGACTGGATGCTTAATACACCTTTTTATTGAAATAAAAATACTTCTATTAAGAAATTTTGAAAAGCTTAGCCCCAATTATTATTTTTCTGTAAGGTAATTACGGATTACCTATACAATAATTTTCCCAAGAAATGTTATGTGTGGAAATAATACTCACTTCTCAAAAAATGACAAGTAAAAAGAATTTGTCTAGACAGAATAACTCTATGTTTATTTGGAGAAATATGTTTTTGTACAAAGAGGCTCATTCTACAGTAACTTGAATAGGAGTCCCCCATGAGTAGCAAAGAAAGGAGCAAACACCAAAGATTCAACAGCCATAAGCTTGATCAGTATATTCAATGATGGACCAGAAGTGTCCTTTAATGGATCACCAACTGTATCTCCAATTACTGCAGCTTTGTGTGCATCTGATCCTTTTGGTCCTAATGATCTAGCATGTTCTGTTGCACCAGCCTGCAAAAAAAAAAAAGGCGAAAACGTTATCATTGAAAATGACTTTACATATAATATGTTGAAATACTTGAGGCCTTGTTAGTCAGTTACCTCTATGTACTTCTTGGCATTATCCCATGCTCCTCCCGTGTTTGAAGCTGAAATAGCAACCTAGAGTCATCGAAAAATGTGAAATAGTTACTATAAGATTGCGAATTCTAAGAGACATGAATGTTGCAAATTGAAGGTACTAAGAGTTGCATACTTGAACGCCAGAAACGAGAGAACCAGCGAGCACACCAGCTAGTGTTTCCACTCCAAAAAATGTACCAGCAATAAGAGGTGTTAACATGACTAAAGCACCTGGTGGGATCATCTCTTTGAGTGAAGCATCTGTTGAGATTTTGACACAAGTTGCATAGTCTGGTTTTGCTGTTCCTTCCATTAGCCCTGGGATACTATTGAATTGTCTGCGAACTTCTTCAACCATTTTCAGAGCTGCACTGCCTACACTCTTCATTGTCATGGCTGAGAACCAATACGGAAGCATTGCTCCTACTAGCAAACCAATGAAGACCTTAGGTGATAAGACATCGACAGTTTTGATACCAGCTCTGCTCACGTAGGCACCAAACAAAGCAAGAGATACAAGTGCAGCTGATCCAATCGCAAAACCCTGATAATGTGGGAAAGTAGTTTGTCAGGTATACTTGCTCTGGAACTGATGTTCCCAAAAGGCGAGTATCTAGAGTTAGTAGATTCAAAATGAGTGTAATCTTATTATATAAACATTAAAAAAAATGCATAATTTGGTTTGAACAGAAAGCAATGTGTTCCATTGAACCAGTAGAACTCACCCTAGATCCATCTCTGAATTGTTAACAATTCATGTGCACATAATATAGTACAGAAGGCACCAATATCAAGAACACAACTTTGAGCTGTCACTTTGAAGCAAGTCTATTTCACTCAACTCACAAGTGACCTAACTGCCGATTAATTAGAGTTGCTGAAACTTTCTAGTTAAGAAGTGTAAAGGACTCATATAATTGGAAAGAATTTCTATGTACATCAGGAAACACTCATTTGCGTAATTGGACAAACATAGAGAGGTTAATGCTATAGATTAGGAGGAGACTTATCTAACCTTGCCAATTGCAGCTGTTGTGTTCCCAGCAGCATCAAGAGCATCAGTCCTTTCACGAATGCTATGGCTCATTCCAGCCATCTCTGCAATACCACCAGCATTGTCGCTGATAGGACCATAAGCATCTATTGCGAGCCCAGTGGCTATAGTGCTAAGCATTCCCAGAGCAGCGACTGCAATGCCATACATAGCAGCTAAGCTGAAGCTCACATATATAGAAGCGGCAATGGCAAATATGGGAATGATAACCGATTTATATCCAAGAGCCAATCCAAATATTACATTTGTCGCAGCACCAGTCTTGCATGAATCTGCCACTTCTTGTACAGGACTGCAAGATTTTGCAATAGTAGACATTAAGGACATAGATCAGATACTACATAACTTTCCCCCTCCTCAAAATAAAAAAGAAAAAGAGACAAATAACAGGCATAAACACAATGCTTCATTGCTAGTGGAGAGACACTCTTCTCTATTTCATTATGAAACACTAGTTACTATTACTAAGAAGTAGAGAGGAAAACTTGATGGCTAGTTGGATGATTATCATAAGAGATTCTCAACATATCATATGATTCTCGTACTTGAAAATTCACTCTTTTTCCAACCCAGAAAACAGACGGAATTCTAGTTTGATTATCACAGGTCACAATCTCTACTACCTTCTGTAAAGTGATATCAGGGTTTACATTTCCTTAACTGATCATTAGTGACTGATTTCCTTGTTTCCATTCTGAAGCTAATTTTCGTTAACATGTTTGTTTGTCATTTTGTTTCCCCTTTTATGCGATTGGGAAAGACTCACTTAAATAACAAGTAGTATTTGATATGGCTTAAAAATTGGCAAGCTAATTCAACTTATGTCATAGTTAATAATACTGATGTTAAACCTAACATAATGTAATAAAGTTATCCAAGCATAGTTTAACAACTGAAAATACCAACCTGTAAGCGCTGCTAGTGTAATATTCCGTAGTATAACCAATGACCAAGCCAGCCCATAAACCAATTGAAACACAGAAGAATAGGTGCCTGTAGCAATACATAATGATCATGCTATATTGGAAACATAGACAGTAGGTAGAACTATGCACAAAATATGAAGCAAGAAGAAGAATACCAGTTCTTCACCACTTTCTCAGATCCAAAATCGAAAATAGTGAATTCTGATGGCAAAGCAAAGAAACTGACAAAAGCAATTCCAACAGTCATCAGAACAGTTGAGATGAGAAGTTGCCTCTTCAAAGATGGTTCAATCTCAGTCACATTCTTTATCTCAAAAATATCGGTTGCAAAAAGAGTCGTTATCAAGCAAACAACAATTCCCATTGAGCTGATAATCAGAGGATAAGACATAGCCGAGTAGTCATGGCTACTACCAAAGGATGAAATGGATGCAACAAACAGTGCTGCACATGATGACTCAGCATAAGAACCGAATAGATCCGAGCCCATTCCTGCAATATCCCCTACATTATCACCTACATTGTCTGCAATAACCTGTGATCAACAAAGGAAAATATAACACAAAACTTATTAGGCTTCAACTTATAAACAATGTAAGTGTAAAAACTATAGCAAGAGCAGAAGGTCCCAAGATGAGAGATTACAGCTGGGTTGCGGGGATCATCTTCAGGAATATTACGTTCAACTTTGCCTACTAGATCAGCACCAACATCTGCTGCTTTTGTATATATACCTCCACCAACTCTTCCAAAGAGACCCATTGAAGATCCTCCAAGACCGTAACCAGTAATAGACTCATACAGACCCTCCCAATCATCTCCATAGTACAGCTTAAATAAGTTGATAGAGATATATAAAACTAAGAGGCCATTAGCAGCAAGAAGGAATCCCATAACTGCACCAGAGCGAAAAGCTATAATGAAGGCCTTCCCAATGCTTTTCCTTGCTTCCAGAGTCGTTCTTGCATTGGCATACGTTGCGATTTTCATTCCAAGGAAGCCAGAGAGGGCTGAAGTTAGGCCTCCCAGAAAGAAGGCAATGGTGGTGAAGAAAGCATTGGCTAAAGCTGGTTTGCAAATTTTTTCTTTGTTGAAAGTGCAAGGCTCACTTTCTGTGCTGAAATTTTTTACTGATCCAAGGAAGAGAAAAATGATTGCTCCAAATACCACCATGAATATGCCAAGATACTTGTACTCCGTAAACAGGAAGGATGTTGCCCCTGCCAATGTTCGACATAGTTAATATAAAAGTAACAGGACAATCCTGTGGCTTCTTTTATTGGTAACTGGAAGCCTGTTAGTATATGTTAAAAGTTTGCATCCTTAAATCACAATGAAGATACCTTGGCATTAGGATTTTAGTTTTGTTTGTCAGCTATCGATTAATATGAAAAACATTAAATTTGAAAAAGAAGATCGTACTAATTAGATGACATGACAATAACTATTAGAAGAAACATGTAACACAATTATGTTAAAGATGCAGTCTTATGGATTCGGATACAACAATTCAAATAATCTTCTTGATGAAGACAAAAATGGATCATCCTTGAAAACGTGCATTGTTAAGGACATTGAAATGAAGAAGAAATCCATGGATAGTAAAGTAACTATAAACCACATGGAACCAATAACAGTTATAACAATAGGTGAAATGTGAAAAGGTTCATGCTTTGCGGTCAACGAAACCGTTTCAAAGTTTCAAATCCCGATGCAGTCCCAAACAAATTGAGGTCGACTTATATGAATACTCATTAATCCATTTAGCTATACTCATGTCATCATCATTCAAAAGGCTAGGTGATTTCATTTATCTATCTAAGCTTTGGTGAATAGACTTATCTGAAGTACACGTATGATTGTGCATTCCAGCTGACACGGACACCATCATTAATAGAAAAAAGAAAGAAAAGGTTTAGCTATGCGCGGGTCCAGGGAAGGACTGGACCGTCTATTGTACACAGCCTTCCCTACATTTTTGCAAGAGGTTGTTGCTACCGCATGAAGTCACATGGCATTAACTTTACCAGTTATGCCAAGGCTCCCCTCCAATCATCATAACCTTAGTATCTAAACAAAAATGAGAGAGTCAAATTCAGAGAGGTAAAAAAGAGCTCACCTTCAGAAATGGCTTTTTGAATGTCAGCACACTTGGCAACAACATCATCAGAATCAATACCTTCTTCTTGTTCATCTTCTTCAATCAACTTGTCATTGTGTTCACTTTCCAATTTTGACCCACTGGAGACTCTGACCTTTGAGACCAAAAACCACTGAAGCAGAGCAAAACCAATGCCAATAAAAGCAGCTAAAGGTATCAGAATCTGTGTTAAGGCCTCACTCATCAAACCCATCTCTCACACTTTTTCAACTTTCTTGAATACTTCACTTTCTATATAACCACACAACAAAAAGGAAACATTTCTTGAAAATAAAAGACTATATGACTATTTATAAAGAACTAAAGAGAATAAAATAAAACAAAATATGGTATTTCTTAAGACTATTTGTAAATATTAAATGCACACGAAAAAAATTAAATCTACGTAGCTTAGCATGCAAGGAAATTGTTGGAAAGCTTTAAGTTGGTTGATTTGATTAACCGTTATGTTTGAATAAGAAAAATTACTCCCCAAGAGACCTGCTAGGAAATACCTCATGTAAAGAGCAATTGTTAAGTAAAATCAAATTAATCAACATCCATAGGATTATGTATTTTTCAATTTACAATTTCTGACTAACCATTGCTTAATCGTGGAAATTTTGACTTCTCTTAATTTTTCAGAATTAGATGGTTTAAATTTAAACTAATCAAGAGTCAACCAAAGATGCCTCACTAATAAGATACTTGTATAAAAACAAAAAAGTAAGTTTGTAAAGTTTATGTATGTAATGTGATCAATGTAATTAGGTTCAACTATTTATGCCATTAACTACCTAATTAGGTTCAACCTTGTTAAGTATTCAAACTCCAATTTTCCTTAATCCAGTCATTATGGAAAAACCAAATTTAAAAAAAAAAGAGAGTATAGTTTAGTGTCCGTAATTTCTTGCAGGGTTCTCAGCGGTCAACTTGAAGCTATGCATGTATTTTGAATTGTCTTAGTGGAAAATTACTTACCGATTAAGATTTAAGAATAAATAATCAAGGTGTTCCTTCTGCGTTTCTACCAAACCCAAGACTGCATTAAAAAAATAACAGAAGGTCAACTTATTTGCGATTATTTGATCACGCCTTTCAGAGATTATACGTTTTAGAAAATTTGAAAAACTTTTAATACTCTTATAGTGAGTAATATGGTAAGTGAGAATTTGTATAATAATCCGCAACTTATTTGGGAGTGAGGCATAATTAATATTGTTATTGTTTATAAAGCATGGAAGGTTCAGCACATAACTAATGTTTATCTATTTCACTGATTCAGTCCATGGAATAACTTCAGGCAAACCAAATCAAATAAAACATGTCGAGAATGATGATTTACAATTCAGTACTCCAATCTCTCTTGGAGCAAAAACTACCACAGCATGCTAAATAAGAACAAGGAAGCTCTGGGATCATAACAATATTATGCACATAGCTCCGTTTACCAGCAAAGGAGACACATCAAACACTAATAACAAGAAACGGATGCACCACATGAGATGCAACTGTTATTGGCGTGACTTGCAATGTCCTCCATAACAATTAGTATAAAGGGAAGTGACTGAGATGTCGATAACATCTGATTGGAAATCTTTTTCGATGCAGCAGCCTGCAGCTCCTTTTCCATTGCTCCCTCCCTCATCCCAACAACTGGAAGATTAACATAAAGGGCAGTTACTGAAATGTCAATAACATCTGACTGGAAATCCTCTCCGGTGCTGCAGCCTGCAGCTCCTCTATGCAACTATCTCCCTTGTTGAACAAATTGCAGAGAATGAGAACATCTCCATAGATGCTCCGCATAAATTAACTTCATATTAGTCAGTATGTTCCAATTTAGTTGCAGATACTGTATAAGAAAATCCTAAATAGCAGATAGTCAACAACTACCGAGAATATTTTTCTCTAGTCCAAAGCAAGATAAATAGCATATCGTCAGCAACTTTATCCTCCAAAAAAAGTGTACTGTTAAACTTTTTCCATCTATCTGAACCTTGATGGATAGAGTCACTAACATTTTTGCAGATGAGAGATAGCAGTTACCCGGCGTATTAGTCTGGGTGTGCTCAAGTTGGTCTGCACACCAGCTTTATCCCCCAAAAAAATAAAAATCGTCAACAATTATGAAGTATATTTATCAAAAGTTAGAACATGAAACATAGTATTTTGCACAAAACGGAGATGATTTTGAGACAACTCTTTACAAGAAGAAGTCCACAGACATCAACTATAATTCGGGAAAAAACATCCACTAAAAGCAATAAAGCACATATATGCTGAATTGCACAAGATATGTAGACACATCCACTGAACATGATCTCTTGTAGGTGTTGTGTTCACAGCAGTACACAACATTTTTGTTTTTGACAATAACCAGAAAAATGTATAGCCTATTCACATGTATAGGATCTTGGATGATACTAAACATGTAAACATGCTAGGTTTTGCATGAAGGATTTAGCGAAAACAGCTGGTATATTAAGATTCACATCCTAAGATACACTGCCAAGAAAATTGGTGGGCAGACTCCCGTTTTTTTTAGCTTTCCATTACGTGGGCCAAAATGGGTGCTTCATTTGATCAGGAATCACTTATCGACAAAATAATTTAAGCAAAAGGAAAAATGTGTTGAAGTCCATAAACAACACTAATAAAATTAGGGAACCAATTGCATTTGTATTTGCTAATCACAAAATAAAAGCAGCATTGTCACTCAAAACAGAACAGCCACAGACCCCCCACCACTGACAAAGGAAAAGAAGAAGAAGAAAGAAAAATTCAATTGAAAGAAAACCCCACAACAGTTTGCATTGACTTCTCTATATACAAAGGTATCTCTTTTTCCTCTACTGCATTTTAATAAAGTGCCATCCAGTGATAATTTCTCGCTCTCTCCTTCTCCAACTTACCCTCTAGGTGTATAAAACAACAAATAACTTATAAACTTTAAACATTGTCATAACAATTTCAAGAAGCAAAAATTAAGAGGAAAAAGAACTACTATCAAAGTCAACAAAGTAATGAAGGCTAGGATTTTACCATTTGCTTGAGAGAGCTCAAAATACTATCAAACTGCAAGATCTATCATTACTCGAACTGAGACCTTAAAGGTTGAATGGCCCAGGAAGGTAAAGGTGCCTGAAGCAGCATTGGTTTCCCAGTAATAGGATGCTCAAAAGATAAACTTTCTGCATGAAGTTCATGACTATCATATCTGCTTCCTTTCCACTCATAGACACCTTCATATCTTACATCTCCTCGTATAGGAATTCCAAGATACTGGCAATGCAAGCGAATTTGGTGTGTTCTTCCACTCCGAGGGCTCGCCCTGACCAAAATCTCATCTTTCTTCAAGTCACAACCAATGACTGATTTCTCTTGAACTATGACTACATCTTCATCTTTATGAAAGTCAGAAACCTCTTTAAAACACCCAAGACCATTCACTGATAATACTTCAAAAGAGGTCTCCATGTCTTTAACAAGTGATCCACCTGGCAGTTTTCTGCCCGCATCTGATGCAGCATAAACACGCCAAGCTCCATATTTTGACCGTCCATGACCTGATTTTACAGTTATTTTTTCCCATTTAGGAGCAAGCCCAACACAGTAAGCCAGGTATGTTTTTCGTACTTTATGGTCTGTAAATGCTTTTACGAACTTAGCTGCTACTTTGTGTAACTTAGTAATCAGCATCACACCACTTGTGTCACGATCAAGTCTATTAGCTAAATGAAGCTCGGAAACATTAGCCCCTGAAGATATTGCAAGTGGAGGTGAAAACATAAGGAAACCTCACAAGTATCCAAGTAGTATTAGTCTTCATATATTTCTTAACTTAAAATATAAAATGATTCAAATGTTTAACGATAAAAACAACATAATATGATTAAAAGCCTCTGTTCGATTCATTCCTCTTCTTTCCGAAATCATCTTTGGGAGTGTAAAAGCCTCTGTTTGATTATACATTGTTAATAAACAGAAGTACAAGTATTACACCGATCAAGCAAGGGTTTAGTGACATCCGCAGGTGTATATTATGTATACTACGACCTATAAACTACAAACAAAAGAGTTCATATGGTCAGTTACTCAGTCTATAGAATCAATTTAACTGAAATTATATTTTGCTAATCCAAATGTTATCTATGAGTAAGTAATAATCCCCTTCCAACTCCAAATATTACAGAAGACAACCAATTGTACACGAAAGGAATCTCACCAGTGTCATTGAGTAAATCCGGGAGTGAAGACAAAACGCTCTCGCAGTAAATTCCTTGAGGCTTATTAACCGCAATGATCCATTCGTCTTCAAAGATAACATGACTTCTCGAGAGAGAAAACAAAGCAGATTTCGAAGAAGCTGTTAAGGCTCTATTCGGCTCTATGTCCTTAGATAAGGCAGGCAATGGCGGAGATAATGGTACTGGGTAATCTGTGGTTGCCGCCGAGGGAGAATCGAAGTAGCTTTGGCTCGCCATGAAGATGAATCGACGGTGCCGGGAAATTCTGGTAGAAGAAGCGAAGAAATTTATCAAAGGGATTTGGAGGAGAGGGAACTTTACTGTCATTTGGATTTTCGGCTCTAGGGATTTAACCAATATTGCCCTAAACTTTTCAGTTTAGTCCGTTACGAGTGTAAGTTAAAAATGTAAAAACTCACGGCGTGCGGGCACCGTCTTTTTTTTTTAAATTTAAATAAGTGTAATAAATATTTTTTATAAAGAAATTGCAAAATTATAATAATAAATTATAAATAGCCTAAAAAGTCAATTTTCTTCGTTTAAGTGGGACAATGAATTAAGGGTTATAGAAAAGTTTCAAAATTAAGGATTGGTGACTCAAGTTTTAATTATTGAGTAGGGGTGATAATTTTTAAATTAAAAATTAAGGGGTTGAATTTTTCATCCCTAAATTTTTTATTTTACACTTTAGTCCTTCTTAAAATAATAAGAAATTGAGGGGAAAAAAGGGTACCAACTGATCATTTTTTCCCTTTTTCTCTCTTGCTTATATTCTTTCATTGTTGGGGGCCATTGTTTGTTGTTGCTCTTCTTCTTCATTCTTCTTCTTGTTGTTCATCACCAACTTCTTCTAGTTGTTCATCATTTTTTTCTTCTTCAGTTGATATTCACATTGTACTGTTGCTTTCAAACCAATTTTCATTAATATATCATTGTGCGTTACATTATAGGTGATTTTGGTAAGTAAACTAATTATTTTTATTCTAATTTTTCATTTTGGTAGTTTGAGTGTTTCTTCAAAAAATTTACAGCCCCGTAGCCAATAGATAAGTCATCTGTTGCAACAAATAGATTACCTGTTGGATATATATTACAATATCATGTCAAGCTAGGACTGAACCAGAAGAATCTCCTAACAGATAAGTCATTTATTGTAATCGATAAGTCATCTGCTGCATCAGATGACTTATCTATTGCCACAGAGGGCTTAGTTGTTAGATACATATTACAATATCAGGCCAAGCTGGGAAAGAACCAGAAGCTTGTCACAACAGATGAGCCATTTATTGCAAATTATGAGTCATCTGTTGCACCAGCTCATATGTTGCAACAGATGACTTACCCGTTAAATACATGTTACAGTACTAAGCTAAACTAGGACAAAATCATAAATTTGTCCAAAAAGGTAAGTCATATATTGCAACAGATCAATTACCTATTGCAACGAATCAATTACATGCTGCAACATGACTTATTTATCACAATAATTGACTTACATACTGAACAAGCTTCTAGTTATGGACATGCATCCAACAAGTGAATCATCAGTTGTAACAAGTGAATCATCTGCTGCAACGAATGACCTACTTGTTGCAATAGATGATTGACTTGTAGGGACAATGATTGTGCATAAGATTTTTAACTGTATATAGCCACTCAACTTTACTATACAATCATTATTAAATATTTTAAATAAATTCCTTTAGCATCATTAATAGAAGAATCAGTAACAATATTTGTTGATTGTTATGGTGAATAGATTGAGAAGAACAATCGATTTATTTAGTGTTGGAAAGATGGTGACATGTCACAGTCAGTATTGATGACCGTCCAAAGGGATATTTTGTATCATGATTTTGTGAACTTAATCAAAGAATATCCAATTAGCCAATTACAAGTTTAGTATCAACGGTCATGGTGATATTGTCGCGGTCAATCTTCAAACAAGAACGTGCACATGTAGAGTTTTTGACTTGAACAAATTACCTTGTCCACAGGCTATGGCAGCGCTTCGATCCCAATATGATGCACATTTTGGAAATCAGATTTATGAGCACTCGTCTTCATATTATTCGGTGGAAAAATACATAATTGCGTATTGTGAAGAAATTAATCTGGTGCCTCCTGAAGATTCTTGGATTGTATCTTTGGAGTTTTTTGAGAGAGAAATACCTCATCCATATGTTACCCCAAGCAAATTGGGAATAAGACGAACGAAAAGGAGGCGTGGAGTCGGGGAATCATTTCCAACAAGAAAAAATAAGTGTTCAATATGTAAAAATATTGGACACAAAAGAACAACATGTCCGGTTCGAAATGCTCCATAATTATTGTAATAGTGAAATAACTATTTTGTACTTAGTCATGAATCTGATAATTTTAATTCATTTTGGTTAATTGTGTGTGTTCATATTTATTATATAAAATATATTAGTTATGCTCATTCATTGCAACAAACTTTGCATATTTTGCATTAGGTGCATTAACTATTGTATAATTTGTTGCAATATATAACTCATCTGTTGAAAATAATCAAATAAATATAATTATCTGTTGCAACAATTATAGAAATATGTTATAACAAATGTCTAATATGCTCATCTGTTGCAATTGATGTTTCATTTATTGCAACATATGAGCATATATGTTTGATCATTTTCAACCGACTCTATATATATTTGATATGAAATGCTTCATTAACTCATAATTAGTAATAAATAAAGTTATTTAATTTTAATTACCTTTTAATTAATAAGTTCAATTACATTTTCAATGTACTGTAGAGTAATTACATGATCAACTAATTGTATTCGTCTTAAATAAAGTGATCCGTTGATTATTTTGATATAAATACTTCGTTAGTCCATATTTAGTGATAAATAAAGTTGTTTAATTATAATTACCTTTTAATTAATAAGTTCAATTATATTTTAATTATAGCATTATCTATTGCAATAGATAACTCATTTGTTGAAAATAATCAAATAAATATGATCATCTGTTGCAACAAATATATATTTGTTACAACAAATGTCTAATATGCATTATTTGTTGTAATAGATGGCCCATATATGCTCATATGTTGTAATGGATGATTCATCTGTTGCAACGTATGATCATATATGTTTGAACGGACTCTATTATATGTGTCATCTATTGCAACAAGTAACTCATAACTTGCTGCAACATATGTCTATTTCCAATAGTATAATTTAACATTTTCCAAATCTAATAATACAATGGATTCATTGTAAAATAGCTGAACATCTATAAAATATAAAATATTGTCATTAGTAATTACAAAATATGATTAACTAAATATGATAAGTGTTCACGAATTACAATCCAATCAACATGCTCACCACCACTTTTAACACCAGCATCACTAATATCAACACCAACGTCAACACTAAAATCTATTGCAACATCATCAGCATCACCAGAAACAATAGGTGTTTCCCTTTTGATCGTTGTTGCTCCAGCCAATTTTTTTTTTATCAGATCCACTGTAGGGTCTTATTTTGTGTCAATATTTCCTAGAGTTAAAAAGAATGATATTTGTATCTCTTGCTTTGTGGGGACAAGCCATGGATATACAATCTATAAACAAAAATAGTTTACATTAAAACTAATCTATAAATTATAATAGATGAAATATTTATTATAATATTTATCTATATATTTTATTTTTAACAGATGGACAATTTATTGCAACAGATGACCTATCTGGTGCAACAATGGACCATCTATTGGAAGAAAGGAAAACAATAGCAAATGACCAAGTTTCTTATAACAGATGACTCATATGTTGCAGCAGATAGGTCAATTGTGGGAAGTAAGCAAATAGAACTATAGAAGCAAGTTATTGAGATTTCGTCCATTAAATGACCCATCTATTCCAACAGATCGGTAATTTGTTGGACGAAAGCAAAACAACATCAAAAGATTGAGATTTCATCCAATATTTGACCTATTTGTTGCAACAAATAGGTTATTTGTTGGACCTAAGTAAAACAACAAATGATTAAGTTTTTGTTCAACAAATGACCCATCTATTGAAACAGATAGATAATCTGTTGGATGAAAGCAAAACAACAACAAATTATTGAGATTTCGTCTAATATATGACCTATCTATTGCAACAAATAGGTCATATGTTGGTACTAAGTAAAACAACAACAACAAATGATTATGTTTTCGTCTAACAAATGACCCATCTATTGCAACAAATCAGTCATCTGTTGAACAAAATCAAAACAGTAGCAAACTCTTATATTGTCTAGGCATTACAAGGTTCAACAAAAAAGTGCATGTTGAATTTTTTACCTACTTCAGCCATAAAAGCAAACTAGCACTTCTTCAGTTAAAACCCTATTTAGAGCAAGAAGACTAACTACCAAAACTTACCCTTTTATTCTTTTTTTCTAATAGTGATGTTTAGATCAGCTTGCATGCATCTCAACAAAGTATCCATTACTAAGTTCAATTACTTTGCCTAGTTTGTCTATACAGATGAAGCATGTCATCAAGCTTGCTAATTTATCCAACAAGGAGAAGACACAAAGTAGTAGCCCTTAGTTACACAATCATGTAAATAGTTATGGGAAACAAAGTTATGATTTTGTATCATATTAGTATAGATTAAGTCAAAAATAACAGTTGCAATGGAAGATCAGAAATGAATAGAACAAAAATAATCAATCTTTATCATCCCAAAAAAAAATACAACAAAAACAAATGTAAGATTAAGAAAAGAGGAATGAACAAAAAAGTAGGGACACCCTTTCTTTCTTTCCTTTCTTGAGTGTTCTAACCTCCACCTTCCACCCATTAGGAACCCAATTGGGCAAACCCCTTTTCTTCCCCATCTCACCTAAATTATCAACTAACCCCACTAATCCTCTCAAAGTACCCCAAAAAACAAATAAACAAATAAAAATCAAATCTTACCAAAAACTGTCCTAAAGCATAGGGTGGGGTTAGTCGATTTGCTCTTCTTAGAACAATCAGTTGGTCCACTTGCTAAAGCATAAACAAGCAAAAGCTTCATTGTCTCAACATGAATCGCACAAAACTTGGGCAGCTCTTGAGGGAAGAGTATGCGCTATTAAAAAAAAAAAACTAAAAAGCCCTAATTTTTTTCAAAAAAATAAAGCTTTACCTGCAAATTGTTGTTCCTTTGGATGGTTAGAATAGAAGAATCGAAAGTTCAAAGTACGGCCGTCGGAAATTGAAAGTTGCCGGAGAAATTGCTTGTCCCAATCGAAGCAATTTTTAATTTTTGGGAAGTATGAAAAATTTTCTACAGAGAGGAGAACGTTTGAGAGAGGGGAAGGGCTTTTTAGTGAGAGGAGAACATTTGAGAGAGGGG